ACACACAAAATAAATAAATAAATAAATAATAAAAAAAATAAAACATTTTAATATAGATATTAACAAAACAAATTTTTAAAAATTAGGATAAAACTTTCTCCATTAAAAAAATACCTACTAAAGCACCTGCTTAGGTAGACTCACTGGCCAGGGTTCGATCCCTGGCCTATAATCCCAGAGCTTGGGAGGCTGAAACAGGAAGATCACTACAAGTTCAATCTGTGTAGTGAGACCCTATAGATCCTGTACTAACTACATAAAAAAACCCTAAAAGATAATTACGGCAATTCAAATATCTTACAGTTTAACATTCTGTCTTTTTATTTCATCTTACAAAACCATGCTCATTATCAGCCAGTTTAAGGCAAAAAATATATACCAGTGCGTTCAGTACATTACAACAGGATCATGCTCACAGTAAAGTTTATAAATGCCTTTGAAAAACCAAGACATTTCAAAATGTTATTTTAAAAATCTACTCCAAACTAATTAGAATATAGTGCTAAATACAAATGAATATCATGTTTGTATTTTATTCCCCCAGGTGAAGTTACCCAAGATACATTTTTTCTTCACTTAAAATCCTTCAACTTTTGCCACTGCCTTTTAAAGGCTAAAAAACTCAAGTGGACCTCCCTTTCTGTCACTGTGTAACCTGCCCTGTGCTCATCTCCAGCCCCCTCATGTCACTCACTTTCTTGTCACTCCCTTAGTCCCTGTCTTCTTCATACCAGCTGGTCCTGCCACTCCCCACCCCTACACAACTCCTGGGCTTCCTTCCAGCTCAACACGTTTTTACATAGGCTGGCTATCCGTGGTGCCCAGGTAAGGCTCATTCATCCTGTCAGAAGGAAGTATGGCACACACTCTATCTAAAGAGCATTTCAAATGCTCTTAATCTTTAAATGTTTAGAATAGCCTCTTTTTAACACAGGGTCTCACTGTTTATTCTATGCTGGCCTTGAATTCACTAACTCAGACTAACCTTGCACTGAAGTGATCCTGTGCCTTGGACTTCTGAGTGATGAGACTCAGGTTTGCATCACCATGCCCAGTGTGTAATAATTTGCTTTATAAGGCAGAGAGATTCCCAAACTTTTTGGCTCTGGCATTATTTTCTCAGTAGTTTTTTTTTTCCACAAAAGAAAAATTCCCTAGGCCAAAAGAAACTCCTAACAGTTCTATTTATTTATTAGGTTCAAATAAGTATTTATATCTCAAGAAAACAGTAACTTTTGGAAAAAATACACATAAACTGAAAAAAATTAATTTCATTTTAAAATAATCAGTTAATATAGGCATTATACTACTTCTCAAACTTCAGGATTAGAATAGACAATGTCACAGTGATTCTTATTCCATACTGATTTTTGCATGGTTGATTTTTTTTTTTTTTTTAATCTAGGCAAGCCACCAAAGGCCCAGTTTCACAAAACTACTACAACAGTGAACAAAGGCAGTGCAAACAAATGTTCAAACTACCTTGGGCTAAAAGTTTGCACAGTGCCCAACAGATGTCGCTATGTATCTTAGAAAGTGAACATTAACTACCCCTTCCCTCCAATTCTCTGAGGTGCTTGGGAAACTACAGGCCCAAATCTACTTCCACAGTATTTCTAATCAACCATATTCCCAGTAGTCACCCAGTACAGTGAGTAGATAGACTCAACCTCTGGATTATACAATTTCTTAAAACATCCACCGGTTGAAGTATTAATGAGACCAAATATTTTACTGTAACAATATCCTGTCAGTGTCTCTGTGGTAAAACTCAGTAACAAGGGTTTTGTAAATTCTTTTTTTTAATTATATAAAACCCAAGATAATTCTGCCCATCAAAGCGACTCAAAACTTATCAAGATGTAAGCCAGCTGTGGTCGCTGTAATCCCAGTATGTGAGAAAGTGAGACAGGAAGATTGCTGCAAGTTCAAGGACAGCATCAGTTAAATATACAGCAAGGCTCTATCTCAATAAATAAAAAGTAAATGATCAAGGTGTGACAAACAAATATATATATATATATATATATATATATATATATATATATATATATCTCCCAAGATCAATCTCTGTTGAATCACTCAGTAAAATCTGAAGCTTTTTAAAAAAGAGAAACTTTACTCATTGGCTGTATCTATAAAACTAATGTATAAGCCACTACAATTCAGAAGTAGCACTTTTAAAAAGCCATAAAACAAGCTTTAAGCCCTAAAAACAAAAACCACACATTCTTGAAGGCTTAATATAGAGTATCGGGCTGGAGAGATGGCTCAGTGGTCTAAAGCACCTACTTGGAACAAGCTTGGCAAAGCGCTGGGACCGCGGTTCAATCCCCCAGCGCCACATGCCAGCCAGCCCCGCCCCCTGGTAGGCTGAGCTGGCCACACACACACACAAATAAACAAATAAATAAATAATA